CGTTGATTTCGGTATATTCCGTCGGTTTCCGTCATGCATGTTTCCAAAACGGTATGACGTCAGGGGTCCGGAATCGTATTAGATACATAGAAAAAAATAATAAACTATCTTTGTGTTGATAGTTTATTGCACTGAAAGGCAATTAAACGTTAATTTTATATATCGTATGTAACGATTGGAATACGTGTATTGATTTCAACTAAATTATATATTTTTTCTATAGCACATAATAATGATGTACAACACTTTTACAGTAAAATTGTATTGTTTCATGTAATAATTAAACATATATATTTTCATAGTCACTTTGCAAATATTCGATGATCGGTAATTATTTGTCTGTAATTATCTGAATCTGAAGTAGCAATTAACCTATACGGATTTCAATGTATGGTACAACAGTATATGTATAAAGTATAATTACAAGAAGAATTACCAGGATAGCATTTGCCTTACAAGCCTCAGTGGCAAACATTACTCAACTCATTGTTCCCTTATTTTTATACTTGAACCATTAAACTTATATTTTCTTATATTTATGATAATACAATCATTTTTCTATCCGGCGACTTGATGCTTTAGCATCAAAATCTCTACTTGTTTCTGGTTTTCCGTGTAAACGGCCATCGGTGACAGAAAAGCAAACTCAAACGGGATTGGATCGGTTGGATCGGTGATAAAAATGCTGAAATACTATCGGTTTTGTCGTTTGTAAATCGGAGCTAAATCGGGCGTAAAGCTGATTAATCGGTGTTTGATAGCTAGTCATCAGTGGTTAAACACTTTCCGTCAGATATGGCCGGTGATTCATGTTTGGTTATCTTTGTCCGATCGGCGATATCGGTGATTAAGAGCTTGCATATCTCGTTATATAGGTTGCTGTCGGTTATTTGTAAAATATTTTCACCGCTCGAGAATTTTAAACATGTTTAAAAATCCCAATCGGTAATTTTTCAGCAGTTGATACGTGGAAAACAGGTGACCAATAGGTGATATCGGTGTTAAGTACGTTGTCATCGGTTCACTCCACAATTTGGCTAAAAAAAACTACCGATCAATCACCGATGGTTCTGTGTAACTGGGATGTAACATGTTATATATTATTCAATCACTGCTTAAGCTACAGTCTCACTTACATCCCGGCAGAGCCCCGGCAGAGCCCCGGTAGACGTCCGGGGTGATCCGGGAACGACCGGGGTACGACCGGGAACAACCGGGGTACATCCGTAACTCTGCCGGCAACGTCCTGGATGATCCGGGATGATCCGGGAACATCCGGCATTCGACCCCGGATGGAATGAAATATTTAATATCACCGGGGTGGTCCGGGATGATCCGGGAAGGTATAGCTTTGCCGGCTTCATCCTTAGCTCTGCCGGGAACGACCGGGGTTATACCGGGAAAGCACCGTAGCTCTGCCGGCACAAACCGGGGATAATCCGGGGTATGATATAGCCGGTAGAGCTACGGTAGAGCTACGGTAGAGCCCCGGTATATGCCGGCAGAGCCCCGGTAACTACAGGCAGAGCCCCGGAGGATAAAGGTAGAGCTACGGTTGATCCCGGTAGAGCCCCGGTAGAGCCCCGGCAAAGCCCGGATCATTTCAAAAGAATAAGGACAATTTGCGATGATTGAACTTGTTTGTATTAAAAGCCTTCCCATTTCCCTTCTATCCAGTATGGCATAAGGATTTTTCAGAAAATCATCATGAATTACTATTCTGGAACAATAGATATTATATTAAATAAAAATTATGTATCAAAGTTATCATTTTCGGGCGTTTTCAATCCACCGGGGTTCTACCGGGGCTCTGCCTGGATCGTCCTGGGCTCTGCCGGGGCTCTGCCTGGATCGACCGGGGCTCTGCCTGGGTCAACCGGGGCTCTTCCGGCGTCATCCGGGAACGACCGGGGAAGCACCGGCATGAACCGTAGCTTCACCTGGGCTCTGCCTGGATGATCCGGAGCGCATCCTGGGTGGTTAGTAGGGAACTACCGTAGTGCTGCCGGGGTAAGTGTGACCGCAACAATAATTTCATCCCGGATCGTCCCGGATCATCCCGGTAACTTACCGGGATGGTCCTGGGCTCTGTCGGGAGTAAGTGAGACCGAGGCTTTAGCATGACATCTACGGTGCCCTTTTATTATGTTAGTTTCTTACTTTAACCCGCATGTGTGACGAGAATATAGATGATAGAAAATTTAAATAAGATATCCACGAAGTCACTTAAAGGCCATTTAATATATAAGCTATGGAAGAAATATGGGAAATTAAATTGATTCGATTAACCAAATGAATGACATAGAAGAAAACATGGAACATAAATCAAGCGCGCGGTGAAATTAAACCACACGATTTGTTAATATACCTTAAATAACACAATGGAACATAATGGTAGTCGTTACTTGGTAAGTTTTTGACATATAAAATTAAGAAAATAATACGCGGTCGTTTATTTAAAATACTTTAGTCTTACAACATCGGAAACTATAATAACTCGATTAACTATATGAATTAACGTCTGATTATAATCAAGCGCGAGGTATAAATTATAAGCTATGGAAGAAATATGGGAAACTAAATTGACAGGTCGCTACAGATAAAAAAAACTGTCTAAATGTGTTTTTTTTCTTTTATGTAACTTTTAAAGGGTAAGATATGTCTTTAAAAATCAATTAAGAGTCGTTTTAATTTCTTTAATTTTAAAGTTCAGGCCGCCAGGCCGCTGGGCCGCCAGGCCGCCAACTTCACAAAAATGACAAAATAAAAAAGTTCTCTGAAAGTGATTTTTTCTTTTGATATATCCTTTAAATAACAATAATTATCTTTAAAACTTCATTAAATGCCGTTTTATTGTTTAAATAACATTTCTACAACATTAAAATTGTTGGCCGGCAGGCCGCTTGGCCGCCAGCTTCATGCCGCCAGGCCGCTGGGCCGCAAACTTCACGCCGCCAGGCCGCTTGGCCGCCAACTTCACAAAAATGACAAAATAAAAAAGTTCTCTGAAAGTGATTTTTTCTTTTGATATATCCTTTAAATAACAATAATTATCTTTAAAACTTCATTAAATGCCGTTTTATTGTTTAAATAACATTTCTACAACATTAAAATTGTTGGCCGGCAGGCCGCTTGGCCGCCAGCTTCATGCCGCCAGGCCGCTGGGCCGCCAACTTCACGCCGCCAGGCCGCTTGGCCGCCAACTTCACAAAAATGACAAAATAAAAAAGTTCTCTGAAAGTGATTTTTTCTTTTTATATATCCTTTAAATAACAATAATTATCTTTAAAACTTCATTAAATGCCGTTTTATTGTTAAAATAACATTTCTACAACATTAAAATATTTGGCCGCCAGGCCGCTGGGCCGCCAACTTCACAAAAATGACAAAATAAAAAAGTTCTCTGAAAGTGATTTTTTTCTTTTGATATATCCTTTAAATAACATTAATACACTTGTTACTATATATAGTAACAAAATTGCCTATGATTTCAACTGATTATGAGTGTCACGTGACCTATTATGAGTTTGCGGCCCGGGGCCGAGAACTAGTTATCAGCCCGCAGAACATGTGCACGTGCACAAACTGAAACAATGACGTCACTTTTAACGTCATCAAACAGTTAACTGTAAAAGTGAAAGTAGGTTGTCAGCACGAATCGCTTTATTTTTATTATGAGACCTTAAGCGTATTTAGTACAAACACATTTTTGTTACTATTGAAATTTGAAGAAATAATACGACAAATTCATTCCGAAAAAAAAGAAAATAAAACTTGCTTCTTGGTTCTACTGCTTTGAACACACAAACAGAAAACATCTCTGTACTGTACAGTAGAAGAGTACACAAGAATTTCAACGAAAGAACTTCAAAGTCTATTTGTTTTGATTATGTTTTTGTTATGTTTTTGTTGTTTTTTTAAATGCTACTATTAGATCTACCAAGTGTATTAAAGACATTAATACACGTCAGCGTAGGGCCGGAAGGTGATAATCGGTCCTGAAAGAATAATGGCCCTCGGGCTAAAGCCCTCAGGTCCATTATTCATTTTGTGGGCCGATTATCACCTTCCGGCCCTCTCCTGCCGTGTATTAACCTCTTAATAATTATCTTTAAAACTTCATTAAATGCCGTTTTATTGTTAAAATAACATTTCTACTACATTAAAATTGTTGGCCGCCAGGCCGCTGGGCCGCCAACTTCACGCCGCCAGGCCGCTGGGCCGCCAACTTCACGCCGCCAGGCCGCTGGGCCGACAACTTCACGCCGTCAGGCCGCTGGGTCGCCAACTTTACACCGCTGGGCCGCCAACTTCACGCCGCCAGGCCGCTGGGCCGCCAACTTCACACATCTACTTTACCTCTATAAAAGGTGCTTAATTTCAAACACTACTGAAGGCTTGCTAGCTAGCAAATTGCAATGCAATGGTTCTACAAAGAAATAACCGCTGGGTAGATTAAGAACTGATTCAGTCCGTTCTATCGCCAACCGTTTTGGTGCCCATCGGTCTACAATTTCTCGGCTTCGCCAGCGATTTCGCTCTACAGTACAGGCCGAATGGCGTCAGATTCCACTAGCGACTATCCGCACCGTAAGGTCTATGAGGCGACAATGTACATCTGTAAGAGTCGCTGATGGAGGAAATTGTCGTTTCTAAATATCCCGACTGTGACATTACGAATAGACATTTATGAGTGACTTTGTTTTGGATTTTCATTTTGTTTTTTGCCTTTGTTAAGTTTGCAATAGCGTGATAAAAAGTGTCATTTTGGGATTTTCACCTTAGGTTCTTCGATTTACCGGTGTAAATTTGATTTGAAACATTTTGAATTGTTTTCAGTTGTTAAGTTTGCATTTTGTATTAAAGTTATGATATATATCTAATGGAGTCGTTAGTGTTTTGTTTTCATGTAATAAAATGCATATAGTGCGGGCGTGCGTTTTCATTGTCCTTAAGTATATAATACCGGTATATTTGTTTGTATAAATAAAACATAATATGATTGTAAAATAAAGTAAATTAAACATACTGATTGCATTTAAGCTATATGTTATTAGGTAGGAAATTTCTCTACGAATTACCTTGAATTTCTGCTACAACCAGGATGATGAATGATATAACGGTTATTATCAGGTCGGACCTGCAGATAAACCATATACAGATACGTATAGCACGAGATCATTAATACAAAAAGTTTCGATGATTTATTTCAAAAGAAAAAAACTTTATGCTGTATACTTTTTTTGAATTTGCTTTGAACGACGGTATAATTAAGAACTGCTACATTAGTTATACACGTACTTTAGAATTATTGCTCGCTTAATTGCCTAAATGCAAAAATAGTGTCAGTTATATAAAATACAATAATTTTATGTTTGAAGGTTAGGTTATAATCTTGGTATTATTAAATGTCACGATCAATTTTGAACTATTACACGAAATTGATGTAAAGTCAGAGAATGTACAGTATTTTAAAACTAAGCAGTTAGGTCTTACCAATTACTAAGACTGTTAAGATATCTTTTCGTGCCAAAGCTATACCATTTCAACGCTATCTCAAGAATGTACAGACAACAAAACGCCCAGTCAGCATCTTTGACGTTCACGGCAATCAGGATGACGTTCACGAAAACTATCCCGTCATAAACTAAGCTGAAATACCTTAAACGACAAATAAACATCTTAAAACGTCAATTAAAAGAAACACAAACTATTTAACAATTTTGCTTTTAGATCGATTGGGCATAACCGAGGGGACCTGTCCATTAGGAAGGGATATTCCGATCCGAACCGCAAACATTTTTCTTGCATATTATACCATATCATATCTTATTTCTAAATCATCTTTACCTCAATAAAACAACATTTTTTCATGGAAATTAGTGTCATTTCATCCGTTACTATTTCTTACAATAGCGTACGAATTCATAACGGCGAAATGACGTCAACCTAAGCTTGCATTTTCATTCTTAAATACGCTAGAATGACGTCTTGTTAACGCGGTTCATTAATAAAATGTGCTCAAATGACGCCATTGTATAGCACGAGGGCGAGATTTCAGGCATGGGTAAAACTAACGGAAACACCTGTCTGATATGCAAGAAAACAAGTTCTTGCAACTGATATTAATCAAATAACGTAACGAGCAAAGCCTTCCGGATTTTGATTTACATTCAATGATTCATGAACAACGAACCTACAGTTATCATACGTTTCCCTGTTCGTCGACATATAGGCCTAAAGTTTTCATTTCATTTTTATTACTTAGTAAATAGATATCAATTCTGAGTGCATTGTTGTAGAATAATGCACGGTTTGAGTTCAATTGCGCATTAATATTACCAAGAAGGCCGACAAAGCATTTGAACGAAAAGCCGTGCATTATTTTACAATAATGCACGAAGAATTAATATCTATTTCAATTCTAACACGTCAAGAAAAAAATATATAGTTGGACTATATGTTTGGCTTTCGCCTCAGAGTTTTCAATAGAAACGTTCTTTAAAGGCTGTTCCAGTCGATTAAGTCTACTGTTCGCAGAAACATTAATTTCGAAAATAATGAATTTTGAAAACGTTGATAAAATTTTTATTTTCTTTCACTTTATATTTTTCAAGCGAAATACAGGGAATTAAAAACGAAAAAATGTGATATTTAACTGGTTTACGATAGCGTTCTTGTTTTGATTGTTTTTGCACGCGCTTGGCGCTACATTGTGACGTCACGTAAACAACACTTTAAACGTCTGTGCAGCGTTAATGACTGAAATAAAGATATTGTTGTTCGAATTTATTTTCTTAGTGAGACCATTTTCTATCAATTTAGATAGTTTTTCAGAACAAAGTTCAACAATAAATTGTTTTTAATTATAAGATTTTTCCAACAAAATGGCGCCGTCAATATGTCGGATTGAAAATACAGAGGGGGAAAATAAGAACGGCGAGTATATTGTTATAGAACAATGCACGTTTCCGACCTTCTTTGTTTATATAGAAAATTTTCCGATCGTGTTAGAATCTAAGTAAGAACATGATTACGTATATCGTCGCCGCACATACACTGATTAATCTTGAATTACTTTTACAATTTGCAACATCAACAGCATGGAACGAACAGGAGAATTTCGTAGGCATTCTGAACAATTTATCAAAGAACGTGGAAAACGTGTTATTGAAAGTGCGGCTAAATTAAAAAGATTTGCAAGAAAGAAACATTTGATAGCATACATACATTGATTCAACTACTTTTCGTAATGCTCTGCTTGATCTTGAGTTATATAATGTTTTGAAGTGTAACTCCATAAAATTTTTCCTTTCAGACACCACCGATATTGGTACGTTCAACAAGTCTGCGATGTTGGAAAATTGCTGACGAGCTAAAAAAGATGAAGTTCAGGGCTGCTTTTCATAGAAAGTCCTGAGTGTATCCTAAGTCCAAGGACTTATGGCAAATTTAAGACTAACTTAAGACCGTTCCAATAAATATTTTTATCCTCAGCAAAATTTTAGAATTTTAGTAAATTCATTTTCCTGAAGAAAGTTACAAAATATAATGAAATACCATTCATTGAGCAATTTGTAAATATTTATCTGCATTGCTGTTTAAAAATTGAAGAGTATCAACATTAAAGTCTTAAGTTAGGACATATTTATTAAAACAAAACTCTCAGTTTGGTCTTAAGACATATTTTAGACAAGGACTTTCCATGAAACGCAAACCAGAACATGAATTATGATAGAGATAAGGAAAACAGACCATTTGTAGTACAAATATAATAACTGATGTAAATCTGAATCAATTAAATTGGAACGTTTGATCATAGAATTAACGGTAAGATATATCAGTTTGTGGCACAATTTGTTTTAAATGTTGATATATATATCAATACAAGAGCGATCAGTGGTCACATGAGTCGCCTCGTGATAGCAATTGCAGCTACAAGGAAGCAAAGGCAAAACGCATTTTTATTGAACGGCCATAACTCATCCAAAATCATTCAAGCGGAATGAGCTACCGATTAATCCTGTAATGTTACATTGAAATTGCATTAGTGATATTACTCATATTAGTGATATAAGAGGAGTAGTCCGGACAAACTTAAAGAAATAGAAATAAAACATTTAAGAGCCATAACTCTGCCAAAAATCATTGAACCGGAATGACAATATGCACAACTAGACATGGTACTGATCATACCTGTAAAAATGGATGAATCTGTACCAGTAGTCTTTGAGGAGTAGTCCGGACAAGTTTTGTGACGGACGGACAGACAGACAGAGAGACGTACAGACGGAAAAGACAGACAAACGACGGAGAAGTGATCCCTATATGTCGCCGCTACTCGGTATAGGCGACGCAAACACAATACTTATAAATCCCGTTTTATCAGTATCTAGGACCATCATCAATAGATCGGTCTGGTGTTTCGTTACTCCAGGATGTGCAAGATTTATCAGCCTTGTCCATGTTTTGTATGTAACCATTTCGTTTCCATCTACATTGATCTTAATGACCTCAAACGCTTGATTCAAAACTTCCTTTTTCATATGTGCAGAATGTTTTATTTGAACCTGAAAATGAATTAAACAATAGTTGAGCTAATCAAATTAAATTATTATCTTCCACTGCTTAATCTTATATCGAATGGTACAAACAAACAGACACACACATGCACTTCCATATCAAGTATACAATAGTGAAAATTTTAAGAACGAGAACTACCGCTATAATGAACGTTTATTTTAAATGAAATTAGATTGAATGGCTATGTAGCAGTCTGAAGAATGTCATAATATCAAAACAGACTTATACCTTCATATTTTCCCTGTAACTGTTGTAGGTTACAGCAAGAAGTATATTGAGAATAAGATACAGGCACAGAATAATATAACTTGTGAAAAATAGGCAGTACCAACGATTATCTTCATATGCAGGCATCCTACAATTCAAAATATTAATATTACTGAATGTCGAAGATTGAAAGATATTATAAGCTAAAGTTTTGAAGACTGCAATTTCAGTTATTGCAACCCCTTATTCCTGTGCTAAATTTGAATCCTTGATAACTTTGTAGATAGACTTATAACAAAGTCTAATAGCAGAGCAGAGCAAGTAAATCGTCAATAAAATCAAATCTAACATTAATACAAATTGTTTGAAATTGTTTCGTTTTGGTGTTTTAATTATAATATATTAGACAAATGACCGAGATCAAAACCCATATTTCATAAAAAAAAATCAATTACATGTTATGTGGATGAATAAAATAAAAAATATGCTAAAGATATAATTTCTATTGAATAACTATATAACGAGTAAATGAGCACTTTTTAGAACAAAAAATTGTAAGTAATATACATATTCGTCATTTTACTACTTAATAAAGATAATATGGAGTATATCAGATAAAATTTAATGTCTCTTATTTATGTCATTTATAAAAAAAAGTATAATTATGTTTTGACTTTTGGCAAAATGAACGCAACCGAAAATTCAATTATAATGTTTGTTAAACCGCTGTATGACTCAGCAATTAATTTTCATTATTTTGAATATTTCTGCCATTTATTGAGACGTGTTGGATTTTATTTATTTGACTTACATGACATCCGGATTGTTCGCTGTTGTCACAAGGACGTATAACTCCCAAAAGCTTTCAAAATAATTCTTAAAATATTCCCTTCCATTTGGGAAAGTTATGTCTTTTCTGTAAAAGAAAGAGATAATATTTTGACTTTTTCAAAATATAGATAAAAAAATCTATTTGTCTTAATTAATTTAATGCATGGTTACTTGTCTTCAAGCTTATTTATCAATGACACATTTAGTCTCAGAAAATATGTTTTCTTCCTATAAAAAGAAAAATACGTGTCTTATTTTAATATTTAATATAAACGAGATAGTAATCGCCTAAAAACAAAAGACTTACCAATAGAATACTGGTCCATCAAGAACTCTGATTTCATTGCGTATTACAATAAAATAAAATAAGATGTTAAACCAAAGTTGGGAAAAAACTACAAGCCTAAGAGTTGCAAAAGGAAAACCAATAGTTGACCGAGGAGAAGCCCTATCCATAATGACAATAGATACCATAGAAGTGGTCAAAGTAGGTAATGTAGCTGAAATAGGATAAAGTCTTGCTAGAATATGATGTGTTAGGATGTGGTGTAAATGGGGCCGCGCTTTACTTTTCCTTGGTCATTCAGAGGCACTGGTTGACGTCTTTTGTAAGGAGATTAGATGCTGATGATGATAATGAGTGCACTAAATTTATTATAGAGGCAACTGATAGTTTCAAAGAGAGGTATAGGTTATTAATGGCTACCTCTCTTGTAAGTATCAATAATGGCATTACATGCTAAGTCCGAGTTCTCAGTCCTTTTTCTTGCAATGTAACGTTCAGGTGGTAGAAAGAATCGCAAGAGTTGTGAGTTCAAGAGGAAAATGCGAAATAAAGGAAGTAATCTGTGTCGCATAAGAAGTGTTAGTACTCAAGGGATGCAGAAGTATTCAAAGAGTATTGTAGAAGTTCCAATTGAAAACAATTCTGGTCATCAATAAGTCCCGTTCGACAGGTTAACTATGAGTAAATAGTAAAAATCCATAGTCGGCCTTAACCTAGAAATTAGAATTTCCAGCATATTTGGATCAAAACAGCAGTCACTAAAGTGTTAACAAGATTTTTTCAATTTTTAGCTCCTGTGACCAAGTTTTTAATTTGAGATTACCCATATTCGAACTCATTTGAGCAATTACTTCGACTAGCATCCTGGCGAACTTGGCAATTGAGTCAAAGAATGTGACCACTAGAGTGTTAACAATGTTTTTCCATATTTGGGCGGTTTGACCTAGTTTTTGACCCCAGGTGACTCATATATGAATTTGACCTAGAAATCATCAAAACAAACTTTCAGACTAATTTCCAGCATATGTGGATCAAAACAGTAGTCACAAAGTAGTTTTAACAATTTTTTTTCTATTTTTAGCTCCTGTGACTGAAATGACCCATGATCGAACTCATTCTAGTAATTAACAAGACAAACCTCCTGACTAAAATTGTTGAATATTGAGTCAAAACTCTGACCACTAAAGTGTTAACAAGTTTTTCCATTTTTAGCTCCTGTGACCTAGTTTTTCATCTGAGATGACCCATGTTCGATCTCATCCTAGTGATTAACTAGACAAGCCTCCTGACCAAGTTTGTTGAATATCACAAATTTGACCAGTAGAATGTTAACATTTTTTTCAATATTTGGGCAGTGTGACCTGGTTTTTGACCCAAGGTGACCCATATTCAAACATGACCTAGAAATCATCAAAACAAACTCAGACCAATTTACAGGATATTTGAATCAAAACAGTTGCCACTAGAGTTTTAACAAGATTTTTCTATTTTTAGCTCCTGTGACCTAATTTTTCATCTGAGATTACCTATGTTCGAACTTAATTTAGCATCATGACCAAGTTTGATGGCAATTGGCATTACGCCGCCATCAATCAGACTGGCAGGGGTCACAGAGATAAGCCAATCAGCGATCTTTATCAGTTCACGCTAAGATGCCTACGAAGTCGACCATTTTCCTTAGATAAGCTACTTGTCTTTGACAATGGTGCAGAAGTAATTTAGATTGAAATTATTTCAATTTTCTGTCAATTTAATTTTTTTTATCGATATACTAATTAAGTTACCAAATATACTGACATATTGACAGATCGAGGAAGTTACTTTATTATACAAAAGGTCAATAAATTTCTACATATGGAAATAATAAGTGCGAAACCTTTATCCTGGCTATAACACAATGCATTAAAATGGATAAGGTTTAAACAAATCCACTTTTTTATTTCCAGAATATCCAGAAGATATGACATTTTTTTCGTTTATATCATATAGCGTCAATAAAAACGCAGCCGTAAAAATGCCAATATATTGAGTAAGTACAATAAAGAATTGGGTAAACCTAAATATTTCTATTAAAGTTCAATAAATTAAGATTAAATGTTCTGTTTAATACGAAATAACACCAAAAGCATCATGTCTGACGTATGTGAAGCTTATTTTTAAAAAGAATGACGTTGTGTATTGTCGTGAATCATATCAAATGTATATTAACAATACATAAGATTCACATATCATACAAAGCTAGGCAAGGGCACGCAATTTTCTTGATCAATTTTTTACAATTCGTGACCAAATTAATTTTTTATCTAAACTGAATTTCGCACATAAAACCCGAAAAATGATTTTAAATTTATTTTTGTCACTAATAGAACTTTACTGTTTTTTTTTCGCTGTTTCAATTTAATAAAACTTCAAATAAAAGACATAACCATATACTTTTCTACATACAGTTTCTCTTTGAATTTGTAAGATATAGTGATAGTTTTTCAGTTTTAGATTTTCATTGAAGTCAACAAGATATAAATCGGTCTTTGTAAAACGTTTCATGGAATGCAGATATTTTTTTCTCACTTTTTTTAAATACAATAATACATTTATACATTGAATAATATATCTACTATTCAATAAAAATATACAAAAATATAGGGTAAATTCATTGGTAGAATTAGTGGCATAACAGTTTTGCGAATACATCGGTACCGTATTTTGTCTTTGATTCTTACTGACCGGGTCACGTGAATCAGTGGGCGGAGCGATCCCTTCTCTGGCGTAATGCCAATTGAAAAAAAGTGACCACAAGAGTGTTAACAAGGGTTTTCCATATTTGAGAGATGTGTCCTAGTTTTGACTCAAGGTGATTCATATTCAAATCATCAAAACAAACTTTCTGGTCAATTTTCAGGATATTTGGATCAAAACAGTAGCCACTAGAGTATGAACAGGATTTTTCTATTTTAGCTTCCGTGACCTGGCTTTTCATTCGAGATGACCAATGTTTGAACTCATCCTAGTAATTATTTAGACAAGCCTCCTGACGAAGTTTGTTGAATATTGAGTCAAAAATGTGACCACTAGGGCTTAACAAGGTTTTCCCATATTTGAGCAGTGTGACAAAGTTTTTGACCCCAGGTGACCCATATTCAGATCTGACCTAGAAATTATCAAAACAAATTTCAGACCAATTTCCAGGATATTTGGATCAAAACAGAAGCCACTAGAGTGTTAACAATTTTTTTTCTAGTTTGAGCTCCTGTGACCTTGTTTTTCATGTTCGCACTCATCCTAGTAATTAACTAGACAAGCCTCCTAACCATGTTTGTTGAATATTGAGTCAAAAATGTGAGGTCTTAACAAGGTTTTCCCATATTTGGGCAGTGTGACTTAGTTTTTGACCCCAGGTGATCCATATTCAAACTTGACCTAAAAATCATCAAAACAAACTTTGAGACCAATTTCCAGGATATTTGGACAGTGGCCACTAGAGTGTTAACAAGATTTTTCTATTTTTAGCTCCTTTTACCCCATATTTGGGCAGTGTGACTTAGTTTTTGACCCCAGGTGACCCATATTCGAACTTGACCTAGAAATCATCAGAACAAACTTTGAGACCAATTTCCAGGATAATTGGACAGTGGCCACTAGAGTGTTAACAAGATTTTTCTATTTTAGCTCCTGTGACCTAGTTTTTCATCTGTTCGAACTCATCCTAGTATGTTATTTGACAAGCATCCTGACAAAGTTTGTTGCATTGAATATCGAAAATAAGACCACTAGAGTTTTAACGAACAAATGTGAACGGACGACGGATGACAGACGACGGACAACAGACATTCAACGATCCTAAAAGCTCAACCTGAGCTCAAGTGAGCTAAAAAGCCGAGCTAAAAACAAACTATTAATCATATTAGAGACTTTTTGCGCCTTTACCTCACCTAGCAAGTATGTATAATATTTTGCGCATTCATCTACTCCTTACGTTTTTGATGTCAGGAGATCTTCAGTTTTTAAATATTTTGATATGTATGACTAGTGGTAATACCATATTATATGTAAACGAAAAAATGGTGAAATATTGCACTATATTGTGACTGGACCGATATTTGCATTTCTTTGTTTCGAGAAATTCAAGAGAGACCTTGTATTTCTTAAAATAGAAATTTAGCTCTCTTATTGTAAGAACATAATTTTCAATGCATCGATCTCACTCACAAATATTTTAAGAATGAAAAACATTCAGGCTTTGTTGAATTTCTTAGCATTATAAAAATAGTCATTCAATTTCAAATTTTTCTTTATACTATTTTACAAAAATCATAAAACATCTCAAACAGACAAGATAATCAATAATAGATGGAAATAAATCTTGTTTATAAACAAACCTGTTTCCCTTTAATCTATTTTTAGGGAAAACCTCCGATATGTAACTAGTTCAATGGCATTCATAAAATTAAGAGTAACCAATACTTCACCTTTCTTGGAATATCTTGATCGCCACTAAAGCAAACACTGCGATGAGGAAGTAGAAAAGAACAATCACGTGACTTATCTGAACCAAAGATATCCTTATATTACTCCATGCTCTTTTTAACTGAAACAAAGGCTTGTATAGAGTAAGCTGGAAAATTTTAAGAAGCTTAAGGAATGTATCGTTCTTCAACATGCATTTCCATATTTATACATACGTAAAAGATTATTGTGTTCAAAATAAAGTGATGATAACAATATAATTTTGGAGTTAGATATCCTTTTTTATGTGTGTACCGCCGTATGAACACATTTGTGGAAGTTCCTAAATTTTAAATACAAATGTTCCTTTAAATTAATTTTGCTGAAGCAAATGCAGCTTGGGACCGTGGAAAGTAGCTTCCATTTGCCAGTGCCGTCCGTAAACAGGTTCTGCATTTTTCCAATTTGCCTTGTCAAAGCTATATTTGTTGTTCAAGTATTTACTCTTTTATTAACTTTTCTTTGAATATTTGCATTTGCTGATTGAAGTAATGTAAACAAAAAATAAGAGGTACTTACCTTAACAATTAATTTATTTATAAACGATTAATTAAATATGGCCGTGGTGTATTTGAAACAAATTTACATGACAAGGTTATCCGAGGATATTTTAAGAGAATAAAGCATTGCAATAAAAAGCCATTTTTATGGTGGCTGATTTGTGTTTTCGTCCTGAGACCCCACCAAGCGAAAAGTCGAAAATTAACAATTTAAAATGGCGGGGACGCGGAGCGAAAACACGCTTATTCGCGAGGTTTAAGAAATAAAATGGCGGTGTCGCGGGACGAAAACATGCTCATAGTGCAGGGCGAAGTTTAATAAATAAAACTTCGCCGCGCGCACCCGATAATTAGCGTGTTTTTGTCCCGCGATCCCGCCAAGCGAAAAATCGACAATCAAGTTGATAATCAACAAGTTAAAATGGCGGAGGCGCGGAGCGAAAACACGCTAATAAGCGATGGCGCGGGGCGAAGTTTAATAAATAAAACTTCGCCTAGCGGGGGCGCGGAGCGAGATCAAAGAAATAAAACGTCGGGGTCGCGGGACGAAAACACGCTAATAAGCGGGAGGCGCGGGGCAAAGTTTTGACGAAAACACGCTAACTTGCGAGGGCGCAGGGCGAAGTATAATTAATTAAACTTCGCCCAGCGGTGGCGCGGAAAGAGATTTAATAAATACAACAGCGGGGCCGCGGGACGAATACACGATAATTAGCGGGGGCGCGGGTCGAAGTTTTGACGAAAACACCCTAATTAGCGGGAGCACGGGGCGAAGTTTAATTAACTAAAACTTCGCCGCGCCCCCGCTAATTAGCGTGTTTTCGTCTCGCGACCCCGCCGAGCGAAAAGTCGATAATTAACAAGTTAAAATGACGGGGCGCGCAGCGAAAACACGCTAATTAGCGGGGCGACCGCGACCGCGCCATTTTAATTTGTTAATTCTCGACTTTTCGCTTGGCAGGGGTTGCGGGGCGAAAACACGTATGGCACAAATCAGCCACCATACATTTAAGTAAGTGTAATAAATTTTTCATGACAAGACATGTCATTTAGTCCTATTTAGTTGAAATAAATTTCAGAAGTTCGATCATCATGATCACCATTACTTACATGAACGCTATCTGAGAAGAAGAAAATGAAGAGGGGACGAAGAACCCTGGAGTATCTGACAGCATTTGGATATCTAAGGTTGTAAACCAAAACATACGCAATCATGTCAAGAATGGTCAACTGAAATCAGAAAAGACAAATCCTCATAGATAAAACTGTAATAAATATTTTAAATAATTTTATCCTGCAGACAAGGTTCTTTAATATATAGAGGATATTTGTTTAGTTCAGTGTAAGATCGGAATATATTTCACCGAGTGAGCACCAAAATGTATATTTCACGAGTGGCGCAGCCAGGAGTGAAATATGAACTTTTGGTGTTCACAAGGTGAAATATATTTCGATCTTACACTAAACTAAACAAATTTTCTTTTTATTATATGCAAAGAAACGTTTTAAAAAGACATTAAACCTAATCCTGATTGAAAAGCGCGCCAAATAATAATACAACGTGACGTCATTTATGACGTCACTTCATTAAGTTGGTACCCAGTTCTGTGCACGCTGGTATTTCACTGAAACAACGTAAGGGGCTTAAATTCAAAACAGTGAAATTATCAAAGTGGTAATTTCACTGTTTCAAACAGTGAAATTACCAGTTTTAAATCACTGATATATAGAGGGTATTTGTTTGTTTTGCATGTAAGATTGAAATATAATTTCACTGAGTGAACACCAGATGCAATATTTTCACGAGTGGCGTAGCCATGAGTGAAAATATAATAGCTGGTGTTCACGAATGAAATATATTTCAATCTTACATGTAAAACAAATAAATATTCTTTTTATTTCATGCTTTTTAAGTGATTTTAAGTATTTTTTACTGATTTTGCCGCGTAACGTCGCGCATTCTCCTTTGTGACGTCATCACATCATGGCGTCACCTCATCAATTTTGAAATATAGTTCTGTTAAATTTCTCTAATTTTGTTACATTTTTAAGATGATGTATGGTGACATCGCCTTTCTTTTCCTAAAGAAGCAAAATTTACGCATGACAGCATTTATTTCTGCCTGTTATTCCATTTAGTTATGATTATCTTTTCATCCGCATTCAGATATAGTCCGACTACAGTGAAAATTATATTTTATAAATTTCACTAGTGGTTTATCAGAATATAATTATCTGATATATTACAATAAAACACTGGAAAGCATGAAATAAATTTCTATAAACCACCGAAAAGCATGTAATAAATAAGCATCTTTTAATGAAATATTATATGTATTTAAAGATTCTATTAAACTAGTTTTGACTATACATGTAATTAATATTTGCACAAGCAATTAGTGTGTACATGATAAGATACGACTTTATTATAAAATATTACCCGCCCATTGTTACAACCAGTTTTGCAATAAAACAAGTTTTGCAATAACATTATACATCATTTTTAAACTCGTTGCGATTACAAAATTGTGATCCATTTTACTTAATAAAATGAGTTTTGTGTTTCGATTATAATCGAGATATTATTATTTTACAAAAAACATATATGTTTAAACATTTTATTCCATCCTACCAAACAATGATATATAATTATTAAATTGCAAAAAATACTTATATAATAGACTGATTTTCAGTTATTACCAAATTCTCCATAAATGAACCACCACTCCTAAATCAGTGTTATCATTAAAATGACCATAATAAGACCCGCCGAGATAAATTGTTACGAGAAATTCCGCAAAATAATTTTCAGTTACCATGTATTGCAAGTATAAATAATATAAAAATGGTAATGAAGCTACAAATGCACAAGTTTATGAAAAGTATATACATACAGCAGTACAGGCTATTGCAAGTATCATTTTCAAGTCCTTTTTGAAACCTTTTGGAACTCTCCAGTACTTTTGATGACAGATACGAAACCCGAACACCATTTGACAACATACTTCAATACTCATTGTCACCTTTAATAGGAGAAAGATAAAACATAATTATAAAAAATGAATTTATTTCAAAACTTATAAAATGTAAAAAGTTCCACCGTTTGCATTGCGTGATGTTTAAGTATAAATCATGATTGGATCTAATCTTAACATTGCTTTCCTCCGCCGAACCCAAAAAATCAATATCCATCTATAAAAACTCGAAGAAACAAAGTGCTCCATCTAGCTTTTGTTTTCAATCTCTAGATCAGATCGAAGTCATATTGTACTCATTAGCCTTTTTTCATTTCCGAGATAAAAAGAGCATATCAACTCTGTATTGAGCCCTGTAACACCGCACTTTTGGGTCAAACGCACTTTGGGGGGTCAAAATCCAGAAATGAACCCCAAAGTGCGTTGATATGCTACATATTAATGCACTTTGGGTTCCATCGTTCTAAAAATGTTAACCGAGGTCTGCTTAAATACTGAGTACTGACTTATTTTTTATCTGCAATTTTGAAATATTTAAGGTGAAGTTCAAGATGAACGTAGATACACATGCAATCGTCGAATTTTGATGTACAAGTAAAAATGTATTTGCTGCTTATTAAATGTAAGTGATAAATGTTTATAAATTTTACCACTTTAAATATCGCAAACTTTTGACTATAAAAACAAACTAACTAAAATAACAGATGTTTCGAAGAGCATTCTGTTCTGTCATTTACGTGAACAGTTTTGGTGTCATATTAAAAACTCCAAATTAAATTTAATAAGGAAAACCGATAAATGATAAATAAAATGTAATCATCAATTTACTTTCAAAAACATATAAATAAAATTCTGTTTAAATGACTTATAACAAGTATGTTAGGAGTAACTTTCATAATTGTAGCGCGAGGGCTACAGTTGTAAATTCATTTCAAACCTATCTCACAATTTTCGAGTTTCCGAAATATTTGGACTATATGAACGACCGGAATGACCATAATCACTCGATTAGTAAATGCCTTAAAGTAAATGTTTTTGTTGCTGTCTCGTAAACTTTTGCTTTGAAATCTAAATGACTTTTACGTATGTCATGGTATTAGCCAGGTATTACATGTTATGCCATGAGAGTAACTGCTTCTATTAGTAAATATAAATTATTCTTAGATCTATATGCATTGTACATTGATGTGTCAGGAATGACTTATTTTCGTTTTGTGGCCATTTTGAACGCTATCTTGAGACTTAAAATGAAATGACACGAGAGAAATTTAATGCAAACGATTACTTACGCCACCAGACATTTTATATTTTGATTCATTGAAATCTTACAGAAATATTTAAGAGAATTGTAAGGTTTTACAAAATGTATCTGTTTACGACCAAAAACGCTGCATTTTTATAAATGACCGCCATGTAAAAAAGATAATTTCGTATTTTCAGAAAATTAGCTTTTATATATGTTTGAAAATAGTTCCTGCCATATATACACGTGAATTTCATCTTAATATTCACCGTTAACATCTTATGACGTATATAGCTTACGCGTGAGCTGTAAACGTTAATTGAAAGAATCCTAGTTGAAAACGTATACAGCTTACGAAGATCTATAATTGTTAGTTAGTTTAAACATATTTATTTAGCTCGATTATGAAAGGAGTTTTTGCAACTTATATAAATCACTTTCTAGTCCACTTCCTGGTACTACTGTCATATGAGAAAAAATGATCGTGACTTGAGTAGGGCTCGAACACAATCATGATCCCTGGATTCAGGGGCAGCACACCTTATAATAAACCACTAGGCAGGCACTCCTCTTGTTAGTTTTTCGTTAACTGACGACGTTAGCTTACGGAAGCTGTAAACGTTGGAAATGTGGATCCAATTTCGAAAATGCATTTTGGTCATCGTCGTTATCGTCGAAGCTGAAGGTGTAGTCGTGGTTGTAGTTATAATCGTCAGTTAGCAAAGTCGTCGTCATCATTACACTTGTTAATGTTTCCATCCTTGTCGCAGTTTTAGTTGAAGTCACTGAAGTTGAAGTGGACGTCGCCGAAGGTGTCATTGTGAAAGCAATTATGGTAGTAATCTTGGTCGCAGATGATGTCGAATCAGTATTCGTAGAAGTACTAGTCGTAGTTGTAATTTCAAAATTAGATACAAATGTGTAGCAGTCATATTCGATGTCGCTGAAGCGTTGATCGTACTCGCAGTCGTCGATGCAGTCATAATCGTATTCACCTATTTGTAGTCGTAGATGTCGTAGTAATGGTTATAGTCGCCGAAGCTGAAAGTGTTGGCGTCATAACAGCACATCGTCATAGTCGTAGTCGTAACTGTACTCGAAATATTTAAGTCTTTGTACCTATAGTCGCCCTTTAAGTTGAAGCTGTATTGGTAATCGTATATGTCTAGAATACTTGTGGCCGCCGTCACCGTCGTAGTATTAAACGACCAGTCGTCGTGAAAGTAATGATCGAAGTCTTGGCTGTAGCAATCGACAAGTCGTTGTCGTAGATCTTGGCAAAGTCTTTAAAGTCGTAATCGTAATAGTCGTAGTAGTTAGTCGCAGTCATGTCGTGGTTGCAGTTAAGTTGCCGACCTATCCTTTGAATTCGTGGTCGTTGCTGAAGTCGTATACGTCAAAGTTGTTTCTTCATTGAAGTCGTCTTTATCCTCAGGGTCAGAGTCGTACTTGTAGTTATATCATTCGTAGTCGAAAAAATGGTCGCAGTTTGTGGCGAATTCTTAAAAGTCGTAGGTAGTCGTAAAAGTTGTATTCGTTATCGTAGTCATAGCTGTACTCGTAGTCATTAATGGTGTAGAAGACGTAGTCGTGGTCGTGATCAAAGTCGTAGTGATCGGAGCCGAATTAAAAGTCGCAAAAATATAGACGTGGTCTTTGTCATTGTCGTGGACGATCACAAGTTTAGTCCTGTAACAAAATGAGCTACTAGTATATACGATAATATGCAGCATCTTGGCGTATACAGCTAACGGTAAGCTGCTTTCGGTGTAAGCTGTATACAGCTGTAAATGTTATTTATTGTATTCACATCAAACATATTTATATATACATGTATCTTACATTAAGGCCATCATTCTATGACACACATAATGAAATACAAAAATATAATTAATTGTAAATTGGGAAATAAGCAGAGCGATCATCTGTTATTGTTATCCTCTGTATATATTTCGCCAAGTACTTCATTCCTTATTTTAAGTTAACCCTTGGCATTAACAACAACATATTAATTTAAAATACAAGTACAAATGTTGCTGCAATGCAGCAATTGAGAAGCTCCGCACAATAAATGCGCTCATTACAGATACCTTACCAAATTATTCCTGCGCACAGGTCATGTTATATTCAGATTAAGTACTATAATTGTAGATTTTTCCGAATGTTTTGTAAACCATTTTTTGCATAATTATACTTATCTTATGCACTGTCCATAATTAAAAAGAGGGGTCAGATATTTAATTTGAAAAAAAATGCTTTCACTAAGTAAAGGAAAGTAATCCCATTGAATACAAGACTTGTAAATGTAATGTGACATGACTGTACTGTGTTCTGTTTGTGTCACTACTGTAGTCAGTAACATAAGATGATAAAAATATCAAAGTCTGTTTTTTTTATTATTATAATTGTTACAAATAGTAACAAAAGGGACTAATATTATAATATAGTAATATTACATGCATTTTGTTCATGTCAAATTAAAAAAATTGTTTTTTTCAAATTGTTACCTGAATTTTAGTCAGGTATGAGGAAATTCACTAACATCATGTTCGTGCAAGTCAAAGATATAAAAGCTTCTTGACATTGGTGATATATAAAAAGCTATTGTTAATTGATTTATTGGGAGATCAATATACTTTTTTGCTGAATTGCTTAAAAACCTTTCATAAAAAAACAATACACCTCATGTCCAAACTGCAGATCAAAGTTTCTGTTGTTATCAATGATATATAGTCTATGCTTAATGAGGATCCATCCGCCCGAACGGGCACTAAATGCAGCTTTCGCTGTTAAGTACGGACCCTCGGACTTGTCACCAAGCACAAAGTGTTGATAATTTACCTCCGTGTACCAATGCTAATGAAATGTAACCTTATACACTAAAGTTATAATTATTTCAAAACAACCAATCTATCAACATGTTATTATTAAACATTTAGCTTCAGAAATATAAATTAAGAATAATTATCAAAAGCAAAATTATTTAAGTCTTATGCCTGAAATCTTCTTTATATTGACAAATTCAATCACTAATAGTATACTTGATATGCTGTGTGTAAAAGTAATTCAAAATGTAACAAATTATAATCTCATGTACTACTAAAAAAAAAGGGAAATAACAAATTTATAACCTAACTGTCAAAAATCAGAACATTTATAGCTATTTATAGCTTTCGAATTCATGCACAGCAGAACTGCTTTCCGGTTCTCATTCATTAATATGAAATGCTGCGAATCACCGAAGGAGCCCATGGACAAAAAAATAGTAAACACAAATAGCAATTAATGAAATTCATTTTTATTGGTTAGATTTTATGACCCCAAAGTGCGGTCGTTTGTCTGATGTTAAAAATTGCGTATGTACCTGTGTAACGCACTCTTGGGTCAAAATTTGAACCCAAAGTGCGTTTGGCCCCAAAGTGCGGTGTTCTGTAACACCGAACTTTGGGGTCCGACCCAAAAGTGCATTACGCACTTTGATGTCATTTTTTGATCGCATGTACATATGCAATTTTCAACATCAGAGAAACGACTGCACTTTTGGGTCACAAAATTGATTCATAAAAATGAATTTTAGTGATATTTTAAAGAAATATCAATTAGTTTACTAATTAGTTATTAATTAATTAACTAATGGTTAATTGAAAATAAGGAATGAAGGGTGAAATGTATTGTGTCGGATACCAATAGTAGACGATATATTATTTTGTTATATCTAAGTATTTCATTTTGCATTTTTATATGTTTAATGTGTATGGAGTAATGTTTATACAATGTTACATTCAATTTAAAGTGTCATTGTGCTAATTGGTTTATTTGAATTGAAATGGTGATCGACAATTGGTTTTGGAAAATGTTACGGCTAAATTATAAATCTGCTTAAAAGTTAAGAAAACTGTGTCACTCTTTTTATAATTTAAACATTACAGTTATATACCGAAATGGCCTAAAAAGGCATACCGTTTATGCTCACAACAGCGCAGTGCGATTTTGTAAAGGGGTCAAGTGGCTTAACTCAGTTTCATTTTGGTTTACTGGATACTTTCCTACGAAGAAACGATTTACAATTTTTGGGATTTGTTTTATTATGTCATTTTTTGGATAGACGCGGGGGGTGGAAGGAAGTTTGTGACTGCTTCTTGTTTAACTTATATTTATTAATTCATATTATAACAATTGTTTGAATGTGTAATATGTAAGAAATACAAGTTAACCTGAATCACACCATTAACGGAGTATTGTAATTATTTATTTTACGAGTATTTCTTTAAATAAATGATCATTGATTTTGAAGTGTGACGTCATCAGATTGGACATAGTGGATATTAACTGCGCTGCCTTTGTCAATAACGTCACTAATTGGTCCACGAACTGCCCATCCAAGACAAGTGCGAACAGCATATGGTTGACCACTTACCCCCGCTCGCACCTCTAACGGAACATGCGCGTCCGGAGTATCCGTCCCAATAAGAAGCATGACGTCACTTACGTCAACGTTAGGAATTTCAATGTCCGACAGGTGGGGTATTTTACGAACCTGATCTCTTCTAGCGGCAGATTTAGTTGTAATAGGAAGTCTCTTTACTGTCCAAACACTCTTTAGATGAACATCATTGACACCGGCTACAGCTCGCACGTGCAAATTTACTTCCTGTCCAGATATTGTACTTCCGGTAGAACTTACGGTAGCAATATTGAATGACACTGGTTTTCCAGGTTGATTTAATGTTTGTAACAAACGCTCATCGCATAAAGTCTTATCTGCACCGTCGTCGAGAAGAGCATATGTCTTGCACGTGCTTCCGTTCTCGCTAGTGACCACTACGGGTATGATACCTAAGCATGCCTTGACACATGAGCCGCTTGTAGCAGCACAATTTACTGACGGATGTGTAACTGTGTGGTCAGACCTAAACTTCGCCCAACTATGCAACAACGTGTTATGCTTTCCATTACAGTCGGGAACATTACACATATTTTGCCTATAACATGTATCAGTCATATGTTTGCCTTTAAGACAATTGTAACAAAGTTTGAATTTATAAATCAGTTTGCGCCTATCAGCCAAGGTTAATAAGCTAAACTTTTGACATTTTGACAAATCAGAACATGTTCCTAAGCAACAATAGCATTTTCGTTCAATTCGGACTTTGTGCGTATCAATATGAGTAGCAAATGTCGTTAATCTAGCCTTGTTATTGTTTTCAGACATTGAATTGGATGCTTTAATAGCTGTGGGTTGTGTATTTTCTTTAACAAGATCTAAGGCATATATAGAACAAGCAACTTGAGATTTCTCATTTACAAATTTTACTACGTCAGAGAAATTTGGTTCCCTGCCAGCAATATTAATGTTATGTGCTACATCAACCCATTTTGTTCTGAAGTGTAAAGGTAGCCTTTTAACTTAAGCCTAAGATTTTCAGTATTATCAACATCTGAAACAAACCCTAACTGTGAAAAAGTTATCTCACATTTTTGCATATCTAAAGCAAGTTTTGAAAGGCTATTACTATCACCAGACTTAATTTGTTGTCCATAAACTAATTTTTTCAATATAAAATCTAGCAATAACATGAGGTTTACCATAACGAGTTTTCAATATTTCTCGTGCACGTGCGTAACCTACATCGGACTCTAACAACACACAATCTTCTATACAAGACTTTGCCTCGCCTGTACAATATTGTATAAGATAACTCAACCTAAGTCTGTTATCAAGAATCTTCGATTCAATGTTTGTTTCAAAATTCTTAATGAATTTACAATAATCTATGGCACTTCCGGTAAATGTCAATAACTCAGGTTTAGGCAAATTAAACCCTTCCTGTAATGTAGACGCTAGTCTGTTGAATGCCGTGTCGATGCTACTGATATCGCTAGTTACCTTACCTTTGGTGTTGGTTCTATAGCTTACTGTTGTATCAGAAGTATCCATGGAAACGTCACTGACCGGTACTTGGTTTCCGGAAACCTCCCTCCTGTTATATAGATGATCATTGGCTGCATTAAGTCTTTCTTCGTTGTATTCTATACTGCGCGCACTTCTGCTAACTTCTTTATTTAACATCACATCCGGTATTTGTGAATGAACGACTGTCGTCATATGAATGTCGTCTGTACGACTACCGCTGTTAATGTGTGTAGCGGTGTTGGTTTGTGGTATGTCAGTTGTTACCACCGGAGCCGGAAACATTGCGTCTTGCTGCCATACTGCCTCTTCAACCTGAGCTTGATCAATTTCACTTTGCACATCAAGTAATTGTTTACGTTCTTCAAGCTCCTCCCGTTCACGTTGCAACTTTCGTTGCTGTTTGTCAATGCGCTGCTTTTCTATCAATGTCTTTAATTTCTGTTCAGCAACTAATTTCCTTGCTTTAGCGCTAAGCATTTCAGATCGTGACGAACGCACTGACGAATTATTCGTTACCGTTACACGACTGTTCACTGAAATACAATCTTCTGTATTGTTCACAGATTTTTTCCACTCTGAGTAGCGTTCACTAAACTCAGCAATGTTCTTAACTTGACTGGTAAAATTACTTTCCATTGAGTTCAACTTTTCTGTATCCTCACACATATCAATACATAGGATATGTGCTGCCTTGAAATGTTCATATTTCTCACAAAGTTTATTGTATATTTCATGTACTTTGTCATAATTTTCTGATGATAACATTAAACGTTCCAGTTCATTAAATGTTTTCGTCAGCTGACTAAGGTGTGCAGTTCGCGACTTCATCGCATCAGGAAACCTTTTATAATCCATTTCCACCTTCTGCTCAGTAGGTCTTTAACCTTCGACTTGACAATTGTTAAACTCTAGTTGAGAATTATAAACACACGACGCCAGTGTTAGTGAGAATGCGTTTATTAACGGGAAACGTGAAACGTGCAACGTGAAACGATTCTCTGTACAAAAGAGAATAAAAATAAATCATTACATAAAATACAAAGATAATTATATCAAAACATAAAATAAACGTACGATCATCAATCAAAACATTTGTATTTACCTCTCAAATAAATTAAACATATTTTACTTAAATAGAGCTCTAATTACAGTACACTTAAATAATCTTATTTAAGATACATTCAATAAAATCCTAATATAAATTATCATTTTTAAACAAATAAATAAACATACCAACTATTGCGGCGTTTTAAATGTATCGTCGTGATGCTTATAAACTGTATGAACGTTTTTTAAATTTGTTTTGATCATTGCGTTTCCGCTTACATAAAAATATGACGTAACGCGGCGTCTTAAGCCGCGCAAAACGTTAACGTTAAAGGGCTTGGTACGTTTTGGGTCGATTTTGGCCCAAAATTTTGAAGAAATAAAATATTGAATATAAATGAGTCATTTAATGTCAGTTGACAAAGCAACATAATTATATGCAATTAAAAACTGACGTTCCTTTGTATTCGTTCCTTTGCGACGTCACGGATGATGTCAATCATCCTCTATTTCGCGCAAGATTCGCAAAAATGGGTAAATTTTGGTGTGATTCTACAAATATTAGGTTTACGCACTTTTTAACCGCTTAGGTTTTTACATTTTATATTCCCATAAAATATTAGCTTTAAATTATCGGTTACTGCTTGCGCACTTCTGTTAATTACCCAAAGTTTACACTCCGTCAGTCTGCTGTTTACATACTGGCAAATGGCGACGGATAGGTAAGGGGCGTAATCGGGTATATATTGGTAGTAGGAGAGGCTCCAGTTCTTCAATTAGTGAAGAGATAAATATCACTGTACATTTAAATAACATAAAGTATTTCTCTTTAGTGAACAATTCCAATAATATGCAATAACATTTATATTATTATATCATTTAATTATTATAAGACGTTTATTTTAGATAGATTTTCCCCAGACATTTAGTTGTTGACACTAATCCACTGATTGATAAATATATGTGACCTTTCTCGTCAATTAAAATATTGTAACACTGCTGCTTTGCTGGGCAAGTGTGTCAACAACTGAATAAATGACTCCGCCTACATTTACCTAGCAGTTTGTCACGTACGCACGTCGGCAAAGTCTTTTGAAGTCTTGATAAAACCGCCCTTTAATAATGATTGACACTTTTAGCGCACCAAATGATCTCTAGCACCGGTCAATCACTTGTCTCCAGAATCAGTTTATTTAGAACAGTGTGGCCATACCACGTGACTATGACGTCATTTTCGGCATCATTTCCAAGACAAATGTTGATCGATTCGGAATTGAAAATAGCCGTAAATATTTTATTTCTGTGCCAATTTCTTTGGGATATGCACCAGTCTGCGGGGAAAAATATAAGCTTTCCACAGAATATTGGATCTTCGCCAGTTTATAAGCCGTTTTATCAAACACTTTGCATAACCTTGGAAGTTGCTTGTATTTGAGCGGGCTTCAGTTGCAAGCTATTTCGTTTTCTGGCGTTATCTGGTCTACGCCATGATCAAAAAGTCAGGTTTACATCAACCGGGAGTACGGAAGGCAAAACTCTACCTAAATATGTTCATATTTTTATTATGAATGACATAAATCTTACATTTTTCTTCAATTGTCAATTCTGGCACCTGTTCCAAGTCGAAAAAAAGGACTACAGTTTAAAGCAGATTTTAGAATCTGTTGCAAATGCAAAGCATCATGCCTTGTACTCTTTCTACAATTTAGTTTTTTATTGTTGATCTTTCACAGAGAGATTGTGGAAAAAAAACTAATGTTTCTTAAAGCAATTACACTTACATGTATCGCAATAGTGCACAACACGTAGATTTAGTCCTGTCGAAAAATAATATTTTTGGTTTCGTTTTGAAGATGTTTGAAGTATTGCTCATCTTATCCTATGTAGTTATTTTAAATGTGTTTTATTCTATTTCACAATGGCGAAATTGATAAGAAATATATGTGCTCTTAGTGAGAGAAAGAGTTAAAATAAAAAAAGATAAAAAAAACTTTTATATGCTACGGAAATTGTTACACTTTAACGTGAGTGTTGTAAAGTTATAAGGTAATTTTTTCATTCTATTTTTTGTAAAGAGTAACTGACAAACACTGACACACGTGAATGTGACGAATATGTTCTTCTGTCGTCAAAAGAGAGACTTTTAAAAGGTATATATTTGAAATTACCGTATTATAAATTTCTATAGAGTTTGATAAACGAAATCACAATTTGAAGTACTATGCACATTAATCAGAATCAAAATCAAGAATCTAACTGCCACGCGCATTAACATGACGTTGACACTTTATGCTAATTAAGCTATAAGCACTTTCATCATCAATAAAGAGCGAGAATGGAGACCATGTGGAGTAAACAAAGTAAAAAATAGTAAACAGATAAATGATTTTACAAAACAAAACATTCAAAAAAAGACAGAAATAACAATGATTATCAATAATTATATGAATATTTACATTAAGATCTGTAATAGCAACACCGGCAAGATCTATAACTGGGGTCCATATGACACTGATGCGTCCATTGAATAATTGATAGCTAACATAAACTAAGTAAAATTACGATTACCTTTGAAGAGTATATTCAATTTTTATACTTCAACTGTCAAATGACTTACTTCTTTATTTACATATCAGATAATTCACTTATTTGGCAAATGCATTATGTTTATCATGTTTTAGATTTTAATATGTGGTCCTTTTTAAATCTTAAAATGCTACAAAAATCCTGTTGAGGGCATGTCATGCCGCGTGCAATAATCCATGCATTTACAGCCAATGACCACATCGATAAGAAATAGTCCCAAATAGCCCTATCGTTTTTATTTAGTTGTAAGAGACATTATTGTTAAAACATTCTACTCGATTTAAATGTTTTCAAACCATAAATATTCCGTTCCCTTCCTCTCTTTATTACAATGTGTATTAGTGAGCTCTCTGATAAAGCTGGGTTGACTGATATAATTAACTAAATTTGTCAGATATGCAGTTTATTAACAGAAATAGATGCAATAATAAAATAAATAGTGTTTAGTGTTCCTAAGTGAACGAAGTTATATCCAGTTCACGAAAAAACGGTTACCGTGGGTATGAAAACACGATGTAAAAATATTTTTTATCAACGAGTGCCACTGTGTTAAAAAAGCTGAATATATCATACTAAAACATTGCTACAGGTTCTTTACCAAGTATATACGAGTATATATGGTTATACGTATAAATAACTCTTTTCAAAAGAATAACATTTGACTTTAAAATTGCCGCGTTGAGGCGTAAAGTTCCCTTTTCACAGTATACAAATGGAAGTGATCCTGAATGTTCACGTTCATTGGACAAGCTAGTCAAACCGAGCCTGCAACATTTTCAATTTGGCCGTTTTTGGCGATATTTAGAGTTTCTGTTTTCTCTCTATTTTGAATATTCCACGTTTAGTATTGCTTCATGACACTAATAGATTTTTCATAATCATTACCGTGAAAGAGAGAATGATTATATTCTTTACAAATGCTTTTTACGACTTTTAAAATCACTTATAGCGCAGCGAGTAAAAATCATTTAAATATTCATTTGTGTTTATGTAAATCGTATAATAGTAAATAAAATGTTTTTCATGGTTAACATAATAATAGAAAGAGAACGGTAGGCATGTTGCTTTGCATTTGCAACGGGTTCTAAAATCTGCTTTAAACTGTAGTCCTTTTTTTCGACTTGGAACAGGTGCCAGAATTGACAATTGAAGGAAAATGTAAGATTTATGTCATTCATAATAAAAATATGAACATATTTAGGTAGAGTTTTGCCTTCCGTACTCCCGGTTGATTTAAATCTGGCTTTTAATCATGGCGTAGACCAGATAACGCCAGAAAACGAAATAGCTTGCAACTGAAGCCCGCTCTAATACAAGCAACTTCCAAGGTTATGCAAAGTGTTTGATAAAACAACTTATAAACTGACGAAGATCCAATATTCTGTGGAAAGCTTATATTTTTCCCCGTAGACTGGTGCATATCCCAAAGAAATTGGTACAGAAATAAAATATTTACGGCTATTTTCAATTCCGAATCGAGCAACATTTGTCTTGGAAATGATGCCGAAAATGACGTCATAGTCACGTGGTATGGCCACACTGTAGAAGGGTGGTGTTAAATTAAATCTTGTCAAAAAATTCTGAATATAGGTCATTAGTTGCGATTTTGTTTTATACATTTGTATTGAAATAATTTTACAAATTCTTCAAATGTTTGCATGCTTTCAATTATCTTGGAAGTGTCGCAATAGTGTACATTATTTTTAATATATGAGTCTCTCTGGCTTCAAAAACTTTATAAGTCACTTCTTAACATTTTTTCTTTCTTTTGTCAGAGGCATTGGTCAGGTATAAAAACAGGTACGCTGAATACCTTACGCTACCACAGTGATGAAGCATAGCGCATGCTTTACTGTATCATATAACATTTGCAAGTTGAAAAGTTTTTTAGTGTCCCGGAAATCAGTCTTGAAATTATGGCATGTATGTGTGTGTGATAAAACGAAAATGTATGTTATCGAAAAATAGCTGGAAAAGCATTTTGTTGGCAATTGTACCTATATTTTACTAGTCATAACTTGTGATGATAAGAAATTCGTCGGTAGTATTTTGTATACTGATATGCAAATTTATTGCAGTATATTACAGTACTGTAGCACCCACCAATGGTATATGTCATTGAAAAGGGTAGGATTTTTATGCACTGTTTTTACGTGTTCATGTATATTCTTTACATCATAAAAGGAATTCAAACCTATTTTGTGCTTTGTGTTGTTAGATATGAAATCTGAATATTCAAAGTATGACAATGAAATATGTGGTATTATCCTTTAACAGGAAACATAAATACGAGTGTAAATAATTCGGAACAAAGTTTATGTTGATTGATCACCGCCTTTTCCTATATTCTTTAATTAAAACAGTATTCTAAGCAAGTTGAAAATATTTTTAGTGACTAAGGTACATGTAGTTTAAATTATCCGTGCATTTACCTTGCAAAGAAAAAACTTCCGTAACAGAAAAAAATCTTGTACTAGTTCATTTTGTATTTTATTTTTTAACAGAATATAAACAGCCTCTGCATCATCGTATTATAATGATGATCTGTTTTTGAACGATACCAAAAAACTTCGACTTAACACTGCCGACTTTAATGTGTGTGTACATTTGTTTTTATTACCCCTCACTTTTTTCGTAATGCTAATTTCCCATAGGCCTCCGGGAGTTATTCTTACTGTTAATGCAAGTGTACCACGTGACTACGAATTTTGTACTGTTACATAGGTAACAGTATTTTTAACAGTATAAAATCTGGTCACGTGGTCTATTTTCTAAATAAAATTAATTAAAATGGCCGCCATTTTTTTCTCGATTCATTCTTATTTTCGACGATAGGGCATCGCCGAAGTAACTATTACTCTGATAAAATTTAGTTCTTTGCAACCTAGAGTCCCTTTCGCGTATTAAATATCTTTTTGTTGAATGGTCAACAGGAAACGTCCGTTTTCAACGGAAGTAATTGTAATGTAAATAATTTTGTGTGAAACTGGAACATGCAGACAAATAAAGCATGCAGCAAAGGATAATTTAACAATTTTAACCAGTGAAACGTAACAGATACACGAGAGTTGGTGGACAGACATCTGTAGGATATCATCGTTATTTTCTAAATGCACTTTGTCAAAAACTTTGCGAAGAATATTCTGGATGCAGAAGGATCAGATTTCACAGATCATGACCTTATAAATGGGTTAGTGTTTTGTTTTCTGAACAAAACACAGCTTATTTTATGTTTATGACTGGTAGATATCATCACTTGCCTAAGGAACAAAAGAAAAAAATCTTCTCAAGTAGGCCTACAGTGCACTTAAAACTTGCAAGGTAAGGACAGTTTAGTTATTGCTTCTCTTGGCTTATTTTTGTTACAGTTAGATTTAGTTGAGAAATTCAGATCATTACAGTATTTGTTCGGGGTAATAAAATAAATAACACATGGGTTTGTGGGTAGCAGTAAAAATATCATCCCTCGTATAAATACTGTTACCCTCGGCTACGCCTCGGGTAACTACGGAAGAGTATACTGACCCCCCTTATATATTTAA